CCCCAAAACCCCAAAACCCCAAAACCCCAAAACCCCAAAACCCCAAAACCCCAGACCTTGGATTTAATAGAATTGTTATAATTAATTGTAAGCATGGGTCCTACCCACATGAATTAAGGTATTCTATTCAAGGGTTTTCGACTCAGATTAGATTAGCGCAGTTTATATTAGAGAAAAAGTCGTTCGCCTCAACTTCTTGTTTCACTTCAATCGTTCTGGTGATTCTGGAGGTTAACGTTCAAAACGATTTAAAGAGTCTTTTGAATTTATTATAGAGTTTCTTCAAAAACTCTCTGATGGCTCCTTCGCTGATCATATGAATATGGAAATCAGCTTCTAATGCTTGTTGATCATCAGTTGGGTTATAGAGAATTGCTTGGTCGGTGACAAAAAATTTGTTCTTCATGACAAGATAGTCTGATTGATGATAGATGTCTTCATCATCCTGCTCTAGAGTGGCCTCGATTGGCATCCAGGGCAAGTGAGTTTTTAGAGTCGTAACGAGCTCTTGGAGTATCACATTCGGGGCTCTTCCAGAAATTGTTTCCTCACTAGGAATTAGTAATGAAGGAAGGATTATAAACTCTTTTTCTAGTCTCACATTCAAGACTAGAGTTACTGCTCTCGCTTAGAGTCAGTGAGAGTTTTAAGGCAATTCCTTTCTGAAGGAAGAATTTATAGGTGCTTGATAGGAGTGACTCACAACCACCTTCGTATTCATTATCAGCATGCTCATCCTTACTGATGTAGTTTGATTTATATTGAGGCTTAGGCATGTCCTATTGGGTTAGAAATTAATTTTACCTCTAACTCAAGTCACCCTGTTGGCTGATGTTTACACTCATCGAATGGGCATCCTCAGCTTTCGATGACCGCATTGGACTGAGAATTTTTGAAGGAATACCTAAAATATTAGCCTTGGATAAGAATAAGCCTACTCTTCCCCATGCTCTCAATAGTTAGCTTCGATAATCTCATTCATTTCTAAATTCATCTTCCAGCGTAGTGTGGTGCTTTATTTCGGTTGCTTATCCCATAGAATTTTACTGGAAATAAGTAAGTATTCCAGAAGGGATTTTTCATGTAAAATGAGGATCAAATAAATCAAATTCCTTTATCAAATTATTATTGTTATGTTGTAAACACGTTTATCAATTTTACCTGAAATTTGGCTAGATCATTTCCAATTGAACAAAAAATATATGCACTTGAGGTAGAGAATTGTAAACTAATCTTGCCATGTATAGGGAAATAATTGCCACCAATGTCTGAGAAACATCCACAGAGTTAGTGAGCAAAGATACCTCAAATAAAACGTAAGGATATTTGAGATAGAGATGTTTACTTCGTTGAGATAATTAAAATCAATTATCTTTAACCTCCACTATGGACTTCTGAGTTAGCTTACCAGACAAGCGATGGTCTCAGAATCGAAGAAATTCTCGGAGTCGTTTTCGAAATACTCTAAAGCTTTGATGGCTCGACTGATGCCAATCATGATTTGCTCCATCTTGGACAAATGCGGACTGAAATGATTAATTATTAATTGGTGGTAGGGGTTTGGATCGATTTCGTGACAGCAATCCTTTACTGTATATAATTGCAGTTCTTCTTGACTGTCGAGCTCACCCGGAAGTTGTCGCAACATAAAACTTTTCGTAATTTCTAATCAATACATGTTGTCATGGCTTTTCTGATGCTTTTTCTTATACTTGAAAGCCAAGTTTTGAATGCTTCAGTTGCTGAGTATTTCATTTACCCTTTCTATGACTATGGTCAAGTAACTGCCATCTCCTCCACTGCTTCTGTTAGAGCTAATGTCGAGCTCGGTCTCCATTTGTGTGCTGCATTCAACTTTTAAGTGGTCTTGAATTGTTTGGTACAACTTCAGTTTCTGGGTGACTACTGGTACTTCCTGGGTTTGGCTAGTTGACTGGTCAGACTCAGTTCTGTCTATGGATGCCGTGTTTGTTTCACATCTAAGTTGTTCACTTCCTATTAACAAGTTATTAAAGTCTGATCAGATCAAACACGAATAACAACATTCAGTAACTGGTTTGTGTCAGACACAGAAATTTAGACTTAATATAGAGCTCGATACTCAAGTTATGAGAAATGCTATATTTACTTATTTCATCATTTGTGGAATCGTCAATATTCTTCGTTGTGATCTAGTAAGTTAGAACTCATCTCAATTACACTGAGGCCTAAGGTTCTTTCTTTCTTATGGTATGAACAAGTGTCTGCAACTAAGTTTGTGTTTGAGAAAGAGAAGCAATGACTACAATTATGAATTTGATTATGAAGCTTACTTTCCATGTTGATAATTGCTTAGTTGGTTCATTGTTTCTGTGATGTACAAATCCTTCTTAACATCACCACTATTATAAATTTTTATGATGTTTAAAATCAGTATCAAAAGGACACTAAAAGCTGTTGGCGAGGATTTTTATTAAAGTTGAAACCAAATAGAAATCATTGTCAATAGCTATATTGAACATTTCATTGGGTCTTATCCTAGACCTGCTTACTTTGGGTGTCAAATATCAGCATGCTGAGATCATGTATCTTGTCAGTGAAATTGATCCATTCTAGGAATCATATGTTTCATTTAATTATTAATTATAAAAAGTCTAACTTGCCCAAATATCAAACATTTCAGATTCTTTTCATGTACCAATGGTATTTTTCATGCCAAAATTTTGATCAAAATTATAAAGTTTGATAATATAACTTTTTTTTAATTTTACATGAAAAGTTGGATTAATAAATGTCTGAGCAAGAGAACAAGTGAGTTCGGAGCCAAGACACCATCTCATTTCAACTGTGAGACATCCATCCGGGGTTTTGGGGTTTTGGGGTTTTGGGGTTTTGGGGTTTTGGGGTTTTGGGGTTTTGGGG